TCACTGGTTTGTTGTTCTTGCATTACTTATCATATCTGAATTACTTTTTGCATACATACATGCACCTTGAAGTGTCTTAACTAGGTTGTAAATTCTTTTCAAAGACAAAAATGTGTCTTACTCACCTTGTGTCTCCAGTAGAACCCACTTCAGCCTAGGAATGTTAGAGGTCTTCGTCAAAGCTATGGAATAAACTGTGAGAAATGATGGGCTTTCCTTAGGTAAACTTCTATATATGACAAGTAGTTGAAAGTTAATTTGAAAGCACTAAAATGTTTAAAAAAGCTTTTCCCAGACCTTTGCTTTAAGGATCATGTTCCTCGGACCTAAATTAATTCTTATTGTCATACTTTCAGGTCTTGAGTTGGAATACTCAAGTTTGCAGTTTCAGTTGACTTTAAACGAGAAGTTCTTTTTCCCTTTCTGGACTTGTAGACAAATGACAGACTAACTGTGGTACTCTGTACAGGAAGATGTGCTCTCTTGCTATGGAGAAGAGCATGGGCTCTGGTAGTTCATTAGGATTGGGAATGGAGAAATGAATAGACTTTTCCAGTCATGACAGCTCTCGTTTTTAACATTTATATTTTAGCATATATGAATATATTAAATTAATTCTATTTAAGCCATCTTCTGCCATTTCCAGTCTGCTAAGTTTATCCAGTAACTCTCATTTCAAATATCATTTTCTTTAGTCCTAGATATTGAATTTGATTGTTTTATATTTTGTTTCTCTGTTGAGATTCACCTCCTATTCATTATGCCCCTATTCTTCCTTAAGTCTGTGCATGTATTTAATAGGTATTTAAAAATTCTTCTCTCCTAATTAGAAAATTCAGGTTATCCAGGTGAAGTATTGGTTCATTGTCTACTTTTTCTTCTAAGAGACTCTGCATTTTAAAGCCTTTCTTTTTTAATGTGTTGATTTTTTGTTCTAGCAGGCAGTATTTATACTCCAAACACTCTCTGATATGATTGGCAGCTGCAGAAAGAATCAGTTCTTTCAGCTGTCTCAGCCTTGAGCTTGACACAAAATGTTCAAATTTCCCCTACTTCTTACCCTGCACATACCCTGAGATCAGTCAAGATTTTTTTTGGTAGAGTTTAGATGCAGATTTGGGGACTTTCTCTTCTGCAGTTTATTTTCTTTCTCTCTCCTTTGTCACCAATCTAGCATCCCACACTTCACTCTTTGAATTTCCAAGGTGCTGTTCCACCCCTCCCCCAGATGATGCATGGTGGCTGGTAGACATCCTCATCCTCTGAGTGAACACAGGTTACTGGTGCAACTCTTTCTTTCAGGAAATATTAAAATGCTTCGCAGTTTCTTCCTGTTCTTGATACTTATCTGATGTTTCCTTACAGTTACTTTTTATATTTTGTCTTGGAATGCTGGATAGTTATCTAGCTGGATTAGTTCAACATAAACTTCTCTATCATTCTTATAGAATAAATTTAATTATGAAAGTTCATGTTATACTTGATCTTTGAGAACTAATTCTGACCCCAAAATAGTTAAAGACCTTAAACTTTCCAATAGTGGCTTTATTGTTAAAGGAGAGATAGAATTTCCCTAGTAAATACTTTACTTTTTCTGAGGCAAATTTAGTTTTAGTGTAGATTGGCATATAAATACAATTTAATTATTTGATAAGTTTTATTAGCATAAGCAGAAAATAATTGCATGTTTGGAGATAAGTTAGAAAGAGGCCATCAGTCAATCTAATTCAGTACTTACTGAACATATGGTTGGTCTTTAAAGAAAATCATATATTAGGGTCCAAGAGGTCCATGCAAAGAGATAGGGGCCTCTACTCACCTGCACCACAGAGTAGGGTTATAAACTTTGATCATAGAAAACTCAGAACTCCTCAGTGAGAAGCATAGATGAATTTATTCAGCAGAATCAAAGAAATGCACACTCAAGGATGAAGCACATTATAGTCTGGGTGAAGGTATTTATGTGATCTTAAAGGTGATCGCAAAAAGGATGATATGGTGTATGTGTTCTAGAGTCTATCCAGTTACCTGCTCTTTGGCTAGGGTACAATTCAAGCATATCTGCATGTATTTGAAGTCTAGAGACATGGTGCCCAGTTAACAGTGCTGTCTCCTTGAAGGTGAAAGTGTGTGGAATTTGTGAGTCTATAGTGTAGGAAGAAAAGTGCAGCCCAATTTACAGACTTAGTATATTTTTTAAGACTTGGGAATTCAAGAGTGAGCAGCCTGGATGGAGAAAGCATGCTTAAGGATTTAAAAAAAAAAAAAAAAAGCATAGTGACCTTGGGTAATTTCATCCTGAATCTGCAGTTTTCTTAAAAGTATAATTTTAAAATTATAATTTCCTTGTTTTTTTCTTCCTATCTTTATTTATTTTATCCTACCTCAAAAGAAACATTCCTTTTGCTGTGCAAAAGCTCTTTAATAAGATGAGATCCCAATTGTTGATTCTTCATAGTATTTCCTATGCAGTAGATAGAGTGAAATAGGAAGAAATTGTTCAAAATTATACCAAGAGAGAGATACTTTGTTAATAATTAAAATGTTTTATGCAAAAAGCATAGTATTATTAGGAAATGAGTTGAGAGATAGATTTGCAATTGAAAATATATTTTTTAGATCATGATACGCAGTGTATTTACCATTGTTATTCTCTATTTTTGTTATGAAAAATTATTTTTCCATAGAATTGTTTCTATATTTTCTTTATTAATATCTACTGGTATAACATTAAAATTAAAAATTAAAAAAACAAAGAGAAAGGTATCAAATACACTCTTTACATACACACACAACCAAAGAAACATTCTTCTTCTTTCTAAGTCTTCTTTGAAATTCAGTTAAAAAAAAATCAACTTGAGATTTTAGGAAGTAGAAGGTAATAACTTATTTTGATTCTTCCTGAATGTTTAAAAAAATACAGAGAAAGAAAACCAAAGACAAAGCATGGCAGCCTGTGAACAGTATCAAAGTTGGAAGTGGTTTTGTTACCAGACAGGATTCAAGGAGGTTCCTGAAGTTGAAGTAAAGAACGTAACTTGCTCTACCCTTAAAATAGTTCGTAGGTTTGCTGACTCCCATTTTGGAAAAAGCATTTTTAGGATGCACCAGGAAGAGACATAAAATGATTTATTAGGCAGAAATTTAAAGTACACATTCAAAGAAATAGAGTATGGCTCCTCAAGAGACAGAGAGATGCATTATTTCTTGGAACAGGGAATGTTTATGCTTCTCTTGAGATGGTAAAAACCCCTGGGAAAAAGTGGCTCGCCCACCAGAAGGGTATTATCCCATTTTACAGGGATGAGTCCAGTTTTTTAAAAAGATACATAATTTAGACACTCTTTGGATTTTTCTCAACCTGTTTCTTTGTTCTTTATTTTCTCCAAAAATTGAATTTATGGACTTCAAATATTCCTGAGGCATTTTGGGGGTGACAGATCTGGTGGGAAAGAAGCGAAGGGAAATGCTGCTATGGATCACTTGGGTACCTCTGACAGAGGCCCAGAATTCTCATTCTTCTTAAAAGTACAATTTTTAGTTATGATTTTCCTTTTCTCCTTCCTACTTACCTTTATTATATTTTTAAATTGTACTTCTGTTTCTCAGGACTTAATTTGCTGGATAGTACACAAGGAGCATGGTAAAGTCTGGAGTCTGGACCTAAGAACACTCATATTTAAACATGCAAGCTGCCTTCTACTTGAAAGCCTTGAACTAGGAAAACAAAATAAAACAAAACAAAACCAAAAACAAAAAACCTGTGGGAGAAAAATAGAAACTGAGGAAGACAGTGAAAACAATTTCAAAGGAAAATGTTAATCCAAGACTCAGGCAGTGAAAAATCTTTTCTATAAAGAGCCATACCTTACCTTTGCAAACTTTATTTGAAACTACATGTGGTCTCCTTTAAGGTTCCCTCCTTTCTCCTTTCTTCTTTTTTCACCTTCCCTTTTTTAAAAAACTTAACACATTATAAAAGCAAAACACGTTCTTAGATTGAAGACAGTTCAAAAATAGGCCCAAGGCTTGGATTTGTCCTGTAGATCCTAGTTTGGCTTCCTGGATTAAAGTCAAATTGAGGAAGGGAAGCAGAGCAACTCAGAAAGTAGGACTCCCTATGACAGTATTTTAATTACTTCATGAAAGCAACAACAGAGGGCACTCTAGAGCCACAAAGCTGGAAAAGATAGCAGCACTCATACCTTTTTCATAAAATGAGACACCTTGTTTTATTTAAAAGTGAGTGGTAGAAAAAAAGTTGAACCTAATACTAAATTTCTAAAAGTTAAAAATGTAATATAATATCTATACATAATTTTGGTATGTACATGGTATCCCAGATGATAATTCAATACATTTATAAAATGTGCACCCATCAAATCAGGTCAACTAGCACGTTCGTCTCCTCAAAAATTTATCATTTGTATGTTGTAGAAACTTTAAACTCTTCTTTTGTAGTTATTTTGAAACATATCATAATTTCTTATGGACAAATAATATGAATGTAATATAAGAAAAAAGAGAATATGGTGAGCCAGAACATCCTTATCTATAAGGAAAATACTCCAGTGACATCTCTCACAGAAATGAAAAACATAACTGAATATTTCAAAACAACTTATATTAGGGTTATACAGCATGACCAAGAGTGGCTGGTGTTTGGAATGGTGAGATGGCTTAGTCAGCATAAGGACACAGGTCAGTGTAACCCATTACATTGATTAAATGAGGAAATAACTCATATAGTCATCTTAATTGATGCAGAAAAAAGCATTTAACAAAATTTATACTTTCAAATAATGGCAACACTCTTGGCAAACTAAGAATAGGAGAAAACCAAAATAAAAAGTATGATCAAAAAGAAAAGAATTTAATAGAAATTATTAGT